ATATATAAATATGTTTTCTTAGGATATAATCATTAGAGAAACAGACCAATAGTATTCTTCAGATCAATGATAAAGACATTTCTAGGAGATGCTTGACATTATTGGATTTGCTAATGAACCTCAGCTATCTAAGGATCACTGACTGTTACAAAAATCAAAGTTAAAAATATTCGATGTCATTTTATGCTTACCTGGAAGCCTAGAGATTTTACTTCTGGCTATTTTCTTCTTGTTACCATTTTGTTGATTCATCTTTCTTTTTACCCCTTGTTTTCCTTTCCTTTTTCCCGCCTCACTCATCCAGTCAGATTCTGATGAGCTGCTCCAATCCTGCTCTGAATCTGTGAATAATTCACCATCCATCCTCTGTGGCACAGTCAGCATTTAGTCAATGATTTTTAGTGATCAGATGCCTTTGATCATAAATATTTGCTGTTGTAAACATCAAAATAAATAACTAAATATATACATACATAAAAACTAGAACTGTCCATAGATTAAAACAACTAAAAATCATAATTACAGTTAAACTCATCATAGGATTTCATAAGTTGTAACTGCTGAATGTTTTTCAGAGATCCCACTCTTTTCCAGTAGTTTTGTGATTTACACTTTAGACTACTTATATATGCAGATGTCCCAAGACCATGAGAACTCTGGTTCTTTAAGGGAAAAAACAAATTATTCAATTTTTAGTCATCTTGATGCACCCTTGGAAGGCGCGTTTTTAAAAATGTAACTTCTTTTCATTTGAGCGCAGTGTTTTTTGGCAGGCATGCATGTGTCATGTGCGAGACGCTCCAAAAGACAAGAGAAGTCCGTCTAGCACGTGTTTACACAACAGAAAAACAATGGAAAAGCAGTGCAGAGAAATGCAGACAACTGTTATGTGTGAACATAGAAATGAACACAGAAACTTGCTTCTTCGACTGTTTGTTTTGGGAAAAAAATGGAAAAAAGACCCGAAACATTCACATAATGTGTGCTCTCTCTGCGTTTTTTTTTTTGGCCAAAAACAGCACTACAATACTATATCGGCAAGCATTCTTTTAGAAGTTAGGACTCTAGACTGCGACCAAAATGGTCGGATATGCAACCATTTTTTTGAGAATGTGCGAGTTAAAATGTGACGTGGTCGCATTTATGCCAGTGCATGGTCTGCTGCTCCATACGCCGTACAGCCGCGTTCACATTGTTGTGGAAGGCCAAATGGTTCATAAACAGGTGAATTTTAACTAGATCTGTCAATTGATTAAAAAAAATAACTAATTAATTGACTTAATAATTAAATAATTAAAGTTTTTTTCTGAAAATTAATTGTGATTAATCTCACCTAACATTAAAGCTTTTAAATATATTTTTATATTGCAATAATTTCACATTCAATCTTAAAATTAATGTAGAAACAACTGACTCAAGGCGAGTATCCCTGATACCAATACTACTGATGTCTCTAGGAAATTGTTATTTTTTTCCTAATATTTAA